GAATTGACTCTCCTTTCTGTACCAATTGCTGTTGCCTAGTTTTGAGCTTTCTTCCCTTCACCAACTTTTTTTTTTTTTTTTTTTTTGGTTTTTCGAGACAGGGATTCTCTGTGTAGCCCTGACTGTTGTAGAACTCGCTCTGTAGACCAGGCTGGCCTCAAACTCACAGAGATCCGCCTGGCTCTGCCTCCCGAGTGCTGGGATTAAAGGCGTGCGCCACCACCGCCCGGCTCTGACACCATTCTTATTCTTGTCCCCTTGTGATTACATAGAGGGAGTTGGCCACATTACATGATCTGATGCCACCCTCCACCCAGCCTCTGCTGACAAAGGGAGACCCCTTAATGGTGATGAAGAGCCCTGAATGAGCAAGGCTTTCTCCAAAGGAAAACACAGGCCTGGACATGCCAGATTCCCAGCAACACCTTAGTACACACACACACACACACACACACACACACACACACACACACTGCTGGGCAGAGAAAGCCTTGATCTGGGGAGCTGGGTCAGAAGGAAGAAGTAGAGGACTTGAGGATCTGACTGCAAGTCCCATAATCCCCTCTGCCCAGGGCACCTGTGCAGTGCCTTTCTGGAGCCTAACCAGCCAGCCTAGAGCTGGGCACCTCCCCTCACCACCCTCACAGAGCTGTTGGTGAGTAGAGGGGTGAGTGAGAGGGGGGATTCTCTGCTGAACTCCTCATATCCCGTATTTGGTTTCCCTGCAGATGCTCCAGTGGCTTTGACCGTTACCGCCAGGAGTGGTTGGCCTATGGCTGTGCCCAGGAGGTGAGAAGTGTGAGTGATCCGCTATGGTCCCCGCTTGGAGAAGGGATGCTGCCAGAGGACTCTGCCCTTGATAACGCTTCTCAAGGTGGCTTTGGCTTGTGACGGCCTCATCCTCTCTATCATCCCAGATAGGGTTCTCTGTTCTGCTCTGAGCCACTGTGGAGGATTTTCCAGGGCTCACTGAGTCCTTGAGTCTAGTTCTGCTGGTGATGTGGCCTTGAGCAGGCAGCCCTTGGGAACTCTGTTACTTCAAGAAAGGGGGTGTTAGGTCTGGCCTTATTCACAGCTGACTCCTCTGGGCCACTGTGCTCCTTGAAATGTTAATGAAGCTCTATCCCTTCTGATTTTGAGGGAGGTGGTCATTCTGAGAGCGAGGGGGTTGTTTCAGGCATCTCCTACTTAGAATCCCATCCAGGTCCCTTCTCCAGAACACTCTAGACCAGTGATTCTCAACCTTCCTAACGCTGCGACCCTTTAATACAGTTCTTGTGTTGTGGCAACCCCCAACCATAAGATTATTTCATTGCTATTTCATAACTGTAATTTTACTACTGTTAGGAATCGTCATGTGAATATTTTTGGAGATAGAGGTTTAAAAAGGGGGGAATAAAAAATAAAATAAAATAAAAAATGAGGGGTCGCAATCCACAGGTTGAGGACCACTGCTTTAGTCTGTAGAACATCTTCTCACATGGGCAAGAAAGGCCATCTCACCCAGGCTCCAATCCTTTCCACCCCCTCTCAGGCAGGGCCTCCCTTTGTAATCTAGGCTAACCTCGAACTCACGCAGCTTCCCGGTCTCACTTCACTATGTACTGCGCCATACTTGCATTTATTTAACATGACCCAAAAAGCTGGGGACCAGGGCCCTCGCTGGCCAGAAGGGAAACTGAGGTACAGATACGTTTAAAGACTTGGCCTGACATTCACCACCACAAGAAGCCAGGCTCAATGTTTAAACACGAGCCCTTCAGGCTTCCCGGCCATGTTCTCATCTTTCTCTGCTCTTAGAAAAAAAAAATAATAATTGGGGCAGCAAAATGGCTCAGAGAGTCGAGGGACCCTGCTGCTGAGCCTCAGACCTGAGTTCAGTTCCTGGACCCCACATGATAGAAGGCAAGAATGGAATTCTGCAGTTTGTTCTCTGACTTCCGTGTGCTTGCTGTGGTGATCACACACTTTAGATAGATAACACACACACTAAATAGATAAATGGCGAGGGGTGGGGAGTGGGGGGTGGGGGGGAGCCAGCCACATCTGACATTGGCTCTTAGTGACTGTTAAGATATTATTTATTTTGTTTTGATTTTTTTTTTGTCTTGAGACAAGGTCTATGTAGTCCTGGCTGCCTGGAATTCACCGTTTAGACCAGGATATCACCAAACTCACAGAGATGTCTTTGCCTCTGCTTCCAAGTGTTGGCATTAAAGGAGAGCACCCAGCCAGTGACTGTGACGATATTATCTGTTTATTTTATTTAAGATTGACATCTCAGCCCCCTCCTTAGGGAGTGATTTGAAGTTGCTGACAGATAAATTACCCTGTAAGATAGGACACTTTCAAGATAAAGTGGAAGATTCCATCTTCATTGTTTTCTGAGACAGGGTCTCACTCTGATGACCAGGCTGGTCTTGAACTCCTGGACTCAATCAACCCTCCCCATCCCCCCTGTTCCACCTCCCAAGTAGTTGAGGGCAAGTGTAAGGTTTGAGTGCATTCGGGGCTGGCTGTGTCCGGAAGCAGCATTGGGGTCTCTTGCAGGCAGAGGGCAGGACCTGTGAGGACTTCCAGGATGAGGGCCACTACTCAGCCTCCCCCGACAGCTCCTTCGGCCCCTTTGATGGTGACCATACTACCTCTTCCTCCCTCTTCATCGACAGTCTCACCACAGAAGGTAAGATATGAGTCCTGGGGCAGAGAGGATCCCCAGGAAGAGCCGGCCCATCCCTGACAGGGATCATCTCACAGGACAGGGATTGCCCTGGTCTTTCACTGACCGTGCACTGAGATTCAGAAAGCTTAGCTGTCTTGGTGGTGAGATGCAAAAGCCGATACAGAAGGAGAAGCTCTGACCACTGGGAAGACTGACTGTGGGACCATGAGATGGAGGTCTCCTCAGAACGGGAAATGGATGTTAGAGCACCCTATCTTAATATTAATCTTGCAGAGCACATGAGTCTATTTATACTGTAGAACAATAACTCTGCCTGGGAGTCAGTGGTGAGAGATGATTGATTTTTTCCATAACCTACCTTTATTTTTTTCCCCTTCTTCTGGTACTGTTGAGCCCAGGGCCTTGCACGATGCTAAGCAAACACTTTACTACTACACTACATGCCCAGCCCTCTTGTTTTACTTATTTTACTGAGATAAGGTATATTAGTTACTTTGCTATTGCTGTGATCAAAACAGTGTGACCAAGGCAATTTATAAAAGAAAGAGTTTAATTGGGCTTATGGTTCCAGAGGGTTAGCGTCCACGACGGTGGAGCAAAGGCATGGGATGAGAAGAGCTGAGAGCTCATCACAAACCACAAACAGGAGGCAGAGAGCACACTGGGAATGGTGTGAGTCTTTTGAAACCTCAGAGGCTGCTCCCAGGGCCACACCTCCTCCAGCAAGGCCACACCCCCTAATCCTTCCCAAACAGTTCCACCAACTAGGGACAAGTATTCAAACATACGAGTCTATGGGGCGGGGGACACACACGACACATTCTCATTCAAATCGCCACACAGGGTCTCACTCCCCCAACCTGATCTTAAACTTAGGAGCAATCCTTCTGTCTCAACCTTCCAAGTTCTGGAATCACAGATGTGAGCCACTATGTTTAAGCTTTTTTTGTTTTTGTTTTTGTTTTTGTTTTTTCGAGTGTTTAAGCTTTTTTGAGACAAGGTCTCATGTAGCTCAGGCTGGTTGGAACTCACTGTATAGTCAAGGATGACCTTTAACTCCTGATCCTCCTGCCTCAACCTCTCAAGTGCTGGGAATTTTTTTGGGGGGTGGGGAGAAAGGGTGAGACAGAGTCTCTTTGTACATACCCACGGCTATCCTGGAACTCACTATGTACACCAGGCTGGCCTCAAACTCACAGAGATCCTCCTGCCTCTGCCTCCCTCATGCTAGATTAAAGGCATTTGCTACACTGCCTCTCTTACTTTTACTTCTGACTCAGTCTTCCTTCTTGGGTTGGTGCCCATCCACTGCCTGCTAAGGCCCGACTGTCCACAGGGTTCCTTTGCTGCCTCGAAGCCTGGGGATCTTGATTGAAGTTGCCAGAGATCAGGATACCTGGAACATCGTGTGAGTGTCTCTGACAGTCCCTGTGGCCTCCAGTCCTAAGGGCTTCGAGTCTTTTCTGTTCCTTTTAGAATTTAGTCCTCAACCTGATCCTTTTCCCTTAGGAGGCCTGAAAGGCTTGTAAGATATTTATAGTGTCCCTAGAGAGGAGGGAAGGGGAGAAGAAAAGGCTAGCATCCGAAAATACAATGCATTCTTACTTGATGGTAAGAGGCTTATAAGAGGCCAAATTGGCCACTCAGGGCTACATGAGATCCCCTGACCTTCTAAACACCTAGACTAGAGAGACAGCTACCTCAGACCTGACAGGAAGAGAATGAGCCACCAATGGAAAGACATCATGGAGGCACTAGCCATGTGCCAGGAGGATGTACAGTCAGACATTAGCACCCTATCCCCACAGTCCTGGGTGGTGATATTATTGCACCCCCATTTTGTAGAGGAGACACGATGACTCAGAGAGGTGAATGTCTGGCCTAGGCTCACACAGACAGGAAGACATGGTCTCACTGGACTCCAAGAATTCCAGACTTCCCCTGCCTTCCTCTGTGCTATGAGAGGCAAAAGCGGGTCTGAATGAATCCAGGACACAGGAAAATAGCAAAGGGTAAACATAATTCTGAAAGCTGGCCTTACTCATGCAGCCAGGGACGACAAGGTGGCCAGACTGTGACGTAGGAGCAGAGCACACATTGCTGCCGCAGAATTCGATGGGACTCAGTAAGGACGGAGCACGCGGGAAACTTGTTCTCAGAGCATTAGTATCCCAGGGCAGGAGTGACCTCCATTTACCTTCCAATGTCAACCTCCAGGATCATAGGAATGGGGTGTCGTTAATGCATGGCTCTCAGCCCTCCTCCCATAGTCAGCCCCCCCCCCAAAGCTGTCAGGTCTCTTTATCAACGGCTCATTCTCCTCCTGTCAAGTCTGAGGTCTGCTGGTGCTCTCTAGTCCTCTAGGTGATGTTTAGAACAAGCCTAATAAGCTAATGAGCCACTCTCAGCTTAACCTATGTGTAGGGGTCCTGTCTGCTCCTGCACTGGGCTCAGAGCAAGCCCACCCACTCGGAGGGCAGCAGCACTAGGAAGTGGAAGTTCAGCTGCATGGACCCCAAGACACAAGATCTAGGGGCTGAGTGCAAATCCTGCTTGTACTCACAGCTCTGCTCAGGGCTGATTCTCTCATGGGCTGTCTCAGTACAGAGGCAGTGAGTGAGGTATGCCAATGGCATCACCTGAGTGAGGTATGCCTGCGGCATCACCTGCGTGCATCACCTGCCTGCCTGTGTGCTGTGTAATAGTTCCTGACAGAAACATTCAATAAAATGAGGATGTTTATGGCTCTGGGTCTTTTCTGTGCCAGAGGACATGGCAAACATTGTCAAGTTACATCCATGAGAAATGAACTTTGGGGCCAGGCCGTGGTGGCACATGCCTTTAATCCCAGCACTTGGGAGGCAAAGGCAGATGGATGTTTGTGTGTTCGAGGCCAGCCTGGTCCATACAGTGAGTTCCAGGACAGTCAGAGCTGTTATACAGAGAAACTCTGTCTTGAAAAACAAAATAAAACCAACAAACACAAAGAAATGAACTTTGGGGTTGGGGATGTGGCTCAGTGGTAGAGCACTTGCCTACCAGGCACAAGGTCCTGAACTTAACCCCAAGCATTGCCAAAAAGACAAAAGGAACTTCATGAACATTCCCCTCAGTGATCCCAGCCTCTCAAGGTATGAGTGGAGTGACAGGGGTCGGTCACTCTCCCACCTGTGCGGTGACATGCCACCTTTGTCACTAGTAGCGGCATGCATGGGAAAGTTGACCTGATGCTGTCTTTCTTGGAGTACAGTCTAATCCTAGGAGATGCTGTAAAGTGACAGATGTGGGACTGCAGCAGAGAGCCTGCCTGAACAGGACAGAGACAGAACACAGGGATTTGGAGGCCTGGGGACTGGATTTAAGTGTTCACATACTGTCAAAAGCCCCTCACTCCAGTGGACAGATCACCTCTGAAGAGTGAGTAACTGTGAGAAAGCCTGTGAGTTTACTGAGGGAGACAGACTCACACCAGGCATCACTGTGGCATCTGAGGGCTCGGCTTAGAAGCTAGAACTAACGATCGGCTAGATGAGTGGTTATTCCAGAAGCATCACCTGCCTATCTGCCTCTGAGTGTGTTTGCCAGACAATCCAGCCCATTCATTAGTCGGCCAACTGCATCTTGGCCTCGTGCCCAAGAACAACTGTAGTGTCTGCGCTTATCAGTTTAATAGCTGATGCATTCTCTTTCCTTTGATTAGAGAGCCACCTCATACTTCACAGAGCCCTGGCAGATGACCTCTGGGACCCAGACCTGGTGAGCAGGAGACAGTGTGGGCAGTGTGGCCACCTTCGGTGGCTCTGGAGGACGGACTGGAACAGTCCCTCACATCCATTTGACTGCCAGGATAGGTGTGGGCTGGACTGTAGTTGAAAGGACTCGAAGGGAAACTGAGATGAAGTGGGGGGGATAGGGTGGCGTGCAGTTTACTCGAAGAGGTATTAATGCTATGGACAGACAGACAACAGCATGATGGGAGCTCTGAAGAGAGGAATCAGGGCCCACATGACTGAAGTTGAAGTCTCTCCTTATACCTTCCTTGAGGATGGGAGTGGTTTCACTGCCCAAGACTGAAGCCAGGCTCTCAGGAAGGAGCCAGGGAAAGGGCGGAGAGTGGGTGTGGGGCTACCAATACCCCCTTTGATGTAAACTCCGTCCCCAGGTGAGAAACCCTGCACTCAAAGGCTGTTAGCCAGGGGCTCCCAGACAGAGTGTCTCAGCAGAGTGCCTGACTGTGTCTGTGGGAGAGGAAGGGCTACTGCAGGCATTGGGGGCTGAGCAGCACTGGAGTCTTCTAACAAACATTCTTGGGGCTGGAGAGACGGCTCAGTGGGGAAGAGATTAGCTGCTCTTCCAGAGGACCTGCTTTGGTTTCCAGCACCCACACACGGTGGCTCACAACCATCTGCAACTCTTTGAGTTTTCCAAGGGATCCAGTGTCCTCTTCTGATCTCCTTGGTAACCAGGAATGCACATGGTGCACAGACACATGCAGGCAAAACACCCATACACATTAAAAAAACAAATTTAACATTACATTCTTCAAGTAATTGGTTGGTCTATATTCCCAGTCAAGCTAATTTGTCAAAGGTAGTTAAGGCTACTTCAATCAGGTTTTTTTGTTTGTTTTAAATTTTTCCTGTGTTTTGTTTCTTGAGATAAGGTCTTGCTGTACTATGTAGCCCAGGCTGGTCTTGAATTGGGGATGATCCAGCCTCAGCCTCAAGCCACGCACAAGTCTTCAGTCAGTTTTTGTTAACCAATTATATTCAACTTGCAATTAAAAATTAGGTTCAAAGTTGCATTTAAGTATCTTTATTGAAGTCCTGGAAGTATATTTATGAATCTGTGACTCTGTTTTCAATTTGTAGGAATTAGCTTTTTAATTTTTTATTTAAAAATTATCATCTTTGGGGGCTGGAGAGATGGCTCAGCGGTTAAGAGCACTGACTGCCCTTCCAGAGGTCCTGAGTTCAATTCCCAGCAACCACATGGTGGCTCACAACCATCTGTAATGAGATCTGTTGTCCTCTTCTGGCCTGCAGTCACATATGCTGTATACATAATCAATAAATAAATTCATCTTAAAAAAATCCAACTTTTTAAAAAAAATTATCTTTAATTATGTGTGTGTGCATATGTTCAGGAGCGCCCTAGGAGGCCAGAGGTATCAGATCCTCCTGGGATAGAGTTCCAGGAAGTTGTGAGCTGCCCAATATGGGTGCTAGGAATCAAACTCAGGTCCTCTGCTAGAATAGTCTGTTCTCTTAGTTAGAATAGTCTGTTCTCTTAGTCACTGAGCTGTCTCTCCAGCCCTATAAACATCTTTTTTTTTTAAGATTTGTTTATTTATCATGTATACAGTGCTCTGTCTGCATGTGTCTCTGTGGGCCAGAAGAGGGCACCAGATCTCATTATAGATGGTTGTGTGAGCCACCATGTGGGTGCTGGGAATTGAACTCAGGACCTCTGGAAGAGCAGTCAATGCTCTTAACCTCTGAGCCATCTCTCCAGCCCCGCTATAAACATCTAAAAATTATAATTAGTGTGTGTGTGCATGGTGTGTGTAGGAACACACGTCATGGTGCATGTGTGGAGGTCAGAGGAATCAAACCCGGGGTCACTGGGCTTGTGCAGCAAGCACCCCTGCCGCTGAGCCATCTCACTGACCCAAGGGATTGGCTTTTTATATTTACAGTTTAAAATCATTTAATAATTGCAGGTAATTGTTGGGGTTTCAAAGTAAAATCTGCAGAAGCAGGTATAGTCCACGATGTCTTGTTTCTTGTTCTGCTCCTCCAGCTTATTTCCTCTTCCCCCCACAAAGAACAAGTTTTTAAAATTTTTTAAAAGATTTTTTTTTAGGTATGTGTTTTCCCAGCATGTACGGCTACGTACCACATGCATGTAGTGCCCACAGAGGCCAAAAACGGGTGTCAGATCCTCTGGAACTGCGAGCTGCCATGTGGGTGCTGGGAGCCGAACTCGGGTCCTCTGGAGGAGCAGCAAGCACTCTTAACCGCTGAGCCATCTCTTCAGCCCCCAACTTAAATTTTTTGAGTATAGATTTCTTCCGTTATCTCCATTTTGACACTTGAAGACCCTGAGAGCACAGGCAGTAGATGTGGAAGCCTTGGGGACCCCAGTACTGCAGACAAGCAGGTGCCAAGGCCAGTGAGGCCCAGAAAACACAACCAACTGTCCCCTGAGAAGGGGCAGTACCAGGACCAGTGAGAGGAAGGCAGGGCAGTCGGCTTGGGTGAGAATTTAAAGGCGGCTCCAAAGAATGCGAAAGTAATTATTTGAGATAAATAGTTCAATGTAGTGCTGATAAAGATCAAAATAAAATCTAAAAATTCTACAATGTGCCAAATACCAAAGTTTTCAGCAGAGGATGGCACTCCCAGGTCAGCTCTTCAGTTTTCCGTGGTGAGACACTGGAGGAGGAAGTCAGAGAAGAGGTTTAGGGAGAGAGGGTATGGAGGAAGTGGCGGTATGCACAGCTGAGCAGACGTGTGGAAGGCCAGGGGGTCTGAAGCCGCTTCTCCAGCTGCTCTCTTTCCAGCAGCTTCTGCCACACTGTGGGGCTACTGGGGCCTCAACCCCCCCCTCTCCACCTCCCCACTCCCCACTCCCACCCTACCCCCCACCTTTGAACAAACCTGGGACCCACTAGGAGTCTCAAGCAGCCTGGATATCGGAGGTGCAGCAGGGAAGAGGAATGAACTGCTGTAAACTGTGGTGCAGTTGAGACTGTCAGGTGGTGTGATTACCCGAGAAAGTGGCGGTGGTGTACACCTTGAGGTATAGAGAGAACGGTGAAATTGCTGCAGGCCCTGGGGTCCGCAAACAAACCAGGGAACCACTGTAAGCCTTCCACAGCAGCCGGCCGCCCCTTAGAAGGCCAGGCAGAATTTCTGTACAGCGTCCCAGCCAGCTGCCTGGCCCTTTCATCTCCCTGCCCAGTAGTATACACAGCTGGCAGATTCTTTGACTCTGGCTCTCACATCTTCCCCACTTCCCAGCTTAGGACTCACTTCCTCCCTCTGGGAAACTTGTTGATTCCCACGATCTGGGTGAGGCCTGCAGAGACTTCATCATGTGAAGTTTATTTGTTTATAGTTTGGGGTTTGTTTGTTTGTTTGTTTTTGGTGTGTGTGTGTGTGTGTGTGTGTGTGTGTGTGTGTGTGTGTGTGTGTGTGTCTAAATCCAGAAATCCAGAGCTGCTCACGTGTCCCACGCTTGGCATGTGCTCAGTGACTGAGCTACCGCCTGGCATTGTGTGTGTTCAGTTACCCCTCTATTCCCTTCCCGATGTGGGTGGGGACCATGTCCATCCTTTATCTGTGGTCTCCCTCGCGGCCCCCCCCCCCCCCCCCCCCCCGTGCCCAGCCCACAGTGAACTGGGCTCATATAATGTTTGTTGAATGAATGACACAAGACAGAAAAGCTGGCTTGTCCCAATCCTCCCCATTGCACTGCCATACAGTTCTGAGCAGGACACCTCCCCTGTCTAAATGGAAAGTTTGGAAAGGACACCTCCTGGAAGTTCCATCCAGACCCAGGGCGACGGATGTCTGAATGGTTACGCTAATTTTGCTCTTTCTGTCCTCTTTGAAGATGACACCAAACTGAATCCCTACGCAGGAGGCGACGGTGAGTGCAGAACTGTCTGTCCCCCTTCACCAGATGGGCGGCTGTGGGCCCACCTTGAGGAGTCCCAGCAGAGGGGGAGGGAGAAAAACAAAGCAACCAGGGTCCCAGGCCTCCGGCTGGACAGGAGGGCTGGGGTCTGAGGTCACAGACCGCTAGTTCGACGAAGCATGCCTACTCGAGACACCCCTTGTCTCAGCCAGGAGTCTCCGGTGTCTACTGTCCTGAAAAGAATTTGAACTGCTACAAGGATGGATGTGGGAATGCCTTTCCAGTCCTCCTGGCTGGAGGAAGTTAGTTGGGCAGGAGAGGCTCCTTTTTCACAGCATCCTGGCATACCTCCCAGTGGAGATGACACCATTGTTCCCCTCCACGAGTTTGAGAGGCTGGGTGTGTGGTTGGGGAGGAGCCAGGCCAGGCTCTTCCAGCTCCGGCTCATCTACCACAGCCCTGAAGGTCAGATCACAGTGTCACAGCAAGCTAAGGGCTGATGGCCAACCACTAAGTCAGCAGAGCCTAGGCTGGGCGTGCCCTTTCAACGTCCCCATTTCATGGAAGGTTGAGGCCCCATCGCGCACTAGAGTGGCCTGGGTAGTTTCTATCCTGGGTTTCTTCTGTGTACACGGTGCTCGCAGAGGCAAATGGGGAGAGCAGGAATCCTGATGCAGTCAACATCCTATCCGAGTCCTCACACTCCACTGCCTCCCTTCCTACCCAAGAGCCATGTGAGAAGGTTTCTGTTGCTGACATTCACATCTGTCCTTTTAGCTCATACCTCCACCTCAGGTAGGGGAGGCAGCAAGTACCCACTACAGGTAATGTTAGGGAACCCGGCTTCTCTGGCAGCTGACAGTCTGTGTGTCTTTAGGCAAATGGCGGAACTTCTCTGTTTCCATTATCTTAGCCATAAAAAAAAAAGGTGAGCCTGGATGAGCCCTCTTATCCTTGGGATGCATTTCAAACGCCTGGGATGTTCTCTGACAGTGGTTTGTAGTGCCTCCAGAGGCTCTAGTTCATCCCACTGAATTCAGGCAAAATGGGACCCCTACTTCACAGTGGACCCCTTTGTTCTTAAGAGCTGGATAGTAATCCTACCATCCAGCAGGTCTCAGTCTGGCAACAGACAGAAGCAAGGATAACTATGGCTATTTGCTATCAAAGCAATTAATACTAGTTCAGGACTTCCAAGATGCTGGGCGAGGTTCTCAGGACTTGGCATAAGCTCTGTTTATCCACGGCACAGTGACCCCCAGCTGGACAGCTGTTGTCCTTGTCCTACAAAGGTGATAACAGAGGCTCTCGGGGGCTAACTTGCCCAGAGTCACACAGCTAAAAAGTGGCATTTATTGTTGTTGTTATTATTTAGATAGGTGTCCTTACAGTACTAGCTGTCCAGGCTGACCTTGAGATCTACCAGCCTCTGCCTCCTGAGTGCAGAGATCAAAGACATGTGCCACCACACCTAGGCTGGGTTCAAACTGACTACATAGGTGAGGATGTTACCTTGAACTCTTGATCCTCCTGCCTTCTCCCAAGTGCAGAGTTACAGGCCTTTGAGATCACACTCAGAGCTAAGATGCCATTTTTTTTTTTAAATTACATTATTTTGTGTGTAGAGTCTGTGAACACCTGCTACCCTCCCTGTGGAGGTCAGGGGACAATCTGCGGGACTCAGCTCCCTCCATTCCACCATGTGGTTCCCAGGGATGGAGCTCAAGTTATAAAGTTATAAGGCTTGGCGGCAAACGCCTTTACCCACTGAGCCATCTGGTTAGCTCCTAAGTTAACGAGATCCCAAACTCTTAACTATCACGTGCCTTTTGTGAATTCCTCAGTAGTGCTGCTGTGGCCAGGTATTTGATTTTCGAAAGCTTCCTTATAACTTCTTTTTTCCTTGTTGTTTTGTTTGTTTGTTTGTTTTTCGAGACAGGGTTTCTCTGTGTAGTTTTGGTGCCTGTCCTGGATCTCGCTCTGTAGCCCAGGCTGGCCTCCAACTCAGAGATCTGCCTAGCTCTGCCTCCTGAGTGCTGGGATTAAAGGTGTGCCCTACCACCACCTGGTCCTTATAACTTCTTAAGAGCAACTTCTAAATGATTCTAGAAAACACCTTAAAGGTGCCAGAACATTCATGTAGTTAGAATCGTCCCACCAACTCCCACCACACTTCTCTGTGGGTTTGAAAATGTGGGTGTTTGTCTCTGGGACCTTGTCAGAACCTGAGGCTCTGAGGCCCTGTTCCTTTTTTTTTTTTTTTTTTTTTTTTTTTTTGCTCCCTGAAATCTTTCTCTGTTCTACCTGTATCTCCACAGGACTTCAGGACAACTTGTCCCCAAAGACCAAGGGTCCCCCTGTGCACCTGGGCACCATCGTGGGCATCGCGCTGGCTGTGCTCCTGGTAGCGGCCATCATCCTGGCTGGGATTTACATCAGCGGCCACCCTAACTCCAATGCTGCGCTCTTCTTCATCGAGGTTTGTAACACGAAATCTAGTAGGTCTTTTAATAAAAATTCTGGGGCCAGATATTGGGGTAAATGCTGAGAGATCAGAGAGACAAAGGAACAAGCCACAGCCACCTCTTCCCTCACCAACTCCTCAGCCTGAAAACATTTTTTTTGTTGTTTTTGTTTTGTTTTGTTTTTCGAGACAGGGTTTCTCTGTGTAGCTTTGCGCCTTTCCTGGAACTCACTCTGTAGCCCAGGCTGGCCTCGAACTCACAGAGATCTGCCTGCCTCTGCCTCCCCAGTGCTGGGATTAAAGGTGTGAGCCACTACTGCCCAGCCTTGAAAACACTTTTAGTTCCTGTCTCCTCAGGCCTTATATACCTTTCTCTGCCCAGGCATCACTTCCTTACTAGTGCTGGGATTAAAGGCATGTGTGTGTGCGCGCCTCCCAAATACTGGGATTAAAGGTGTGTGCCACCACTGCGTGGCTCTATTTCTCTCCTAGACTGAATCAATCTCATGTAATCCAGGGTGGCTTTGAACTCACAGAGATCCAGGCAGATCTCTGCCTCCCGAGTGCTAGGATTAAGGATGTGTGCCACCACTGCCTGGCCTCTATGTTTAATCTAGTGGCTTGTTCTGTTCTCTGATCTTCAGGCAATTTTATTAGAGTACACAATATATCACCACAGAGGTTAGTGTGGGATTTGGGATTTGCCTGTATCTGCTTCAGGCCGGTTTCCACATCAGTATTTTCCTCGCCATTCAGAACCTGCCTCGCCCCATCCCATCCCATCCCTCACCTCCCTGAGAAACTTTCCTCCACTCCATCACATCTTCGGTGGCTGGTGCTCTGGAAGTCTGCTGTCCTCAGGACCCAGCATCTAGGTTTCCTTCCCTGGGGTGCGGCTGATTTCCCCACTTATGAGGTTAGGAAAGCCCCCAGAGGAAGTCGTCAGAAATGCCACAGAGTACCCTATAGTGGCAAGGGGTCGTCCCCTAATGACTTGTGGTTTCTTGTACCCAAATTCGAGATTTTTGGACTTATTCAGAGTCATGATGGAGCCACCATATTTCACTGCTTCTGTGGGCTTTTTAGCTGACAGCTGACGAGCCAAAACGTTAATGAGGGCCGGGCTCTCAGGGAGCTTTCGCTGGGAGTGCTGCAGTTTTGATGTTCCGGAGCTCAGAGGGAGCAGGAGTACATCACAGGAAGCAAGGCTCAGCAAGCCACAGAGCTCAGTGACATCTGGCCCCTATCCCACTGGTAAAGACATTTCCCGAGACCCACGGTAGACCGCCCCTCAATGATTTCTGAGGCAGGGGGGGGGGAGGGAGAGAGGGAGAGAGAGAGAGGGAGAGAGAGGACAGATGGAAGGAAGGAGCAGAAAGGAAAGAGAGATGCACAGAGGGACCACCTGCATTTTATGCTGGGACGCCATTGCAGGTTGATGACGCAATTAAGGACCGAATCCTTACAGGCACATCTGATACATCAGTCTCTACCTGGCTCTCAAGCCCACTGACCTCATTCCCTAGAGGCCTGGGTAGTTCCCTCGGCTTTTTAAAATGAAACAGAGTCTTTCCAGTTGTTCTGAATTCTTAGCCTACCTGGGTGTCACCAAGGACTACTGGTCCTCAGGCCACAAGGACTTCCATGAGTGGGGGCAGGGCAGGGCAAGGATTTCAGTAAGTTTCCCATCAACTCTGATGCAGGACCTGTGCTGTCTGTCCAGAGGGCTGTCTTGCATTCCCAGAGTCTCCTAGATCATTCAGGCATCTGTGGCCTGCTTCACCTCTCCCTACAGTCTCGCACCTCCAGTCTGTGGTCGAAGCTTCTAGTTCCATATCGCAAACCGCACAGTGATGGATAAAATGCGTTCCTTCCAAACCTGCTTCTAAACGTGCCAGGCAGGTGGTGCACACCCACAATCCCAACACTTGGGAGGCAGAGGCAGGAGGATTGCTGCAAGTTCGAGGCCAGCCAGGACTATATAGGGTCCCTAGTGGCTTAGGGTTTATTTGTTGAGTCTTGCGAAGAGAGTGGCCACAGCCACAGCGGTCTCTCCAGAGTCCCCATTTCTTCAGAACCCTTGTAAGAGAAAGCCTTGCACCAGCCCTCAGAGCTGGGGTCCAGTGAGGAGGTGGGACTCGCTGACTTTGCTTCTGTGTCCCTGCAGCGGAGACCTCACCACTGGCCGGCCATGAAGTTCCGAAACCACCCCAACCACTCTACCTACACAGAGGTCGAGCCCTCGGGCCACGAGAAGGAGGCCTTCATGGAGGCCGAGCAGTGCTGAGAGCATCAGGCCAGAGACCTGGGGATGGCATGAGATGGAGTCACAGCAAAGAGAAGTGATTTTTCCTGGCTTCCTCTGAGCTGGCCGTGAGCCAGGAAGACAACAGCTTATGGTGACAAAACCACAGTTTGGTCCTCACACCCCAGATAAAAGGGGTACAGTAACACAACCATGAGGGTTTCTTAAAGGAACACTAACCTCAGAGTTCTCTGTTCCGATGGGAGGGGCTCTTTTTTGGGGTCTCCCAATGGTCTGCGCTGTAGCTATCACAGAGCCCCTCCCCACTGGAGACAGCCTGGTCACAAGCCCCTGCTGGGGCTCCTGCATTCTAAGGTCCAGAAGCTCAAGGGCTGGTGTTCCTAGCTATGGAGTCAGTGCGCCTGGCTCCAAACTCCGTGGCTCTGGAAGCCTGAAGAAGGGGTCCCCTCCACCAGAGAGCTCTTACCCCTTGAGACAAACCAAGTGCGAGGAGAGAAAAGGAACCCAGGGGAACCTGTGTCTTCTGGCCTTGGTCCTTTGCTGCATCCTTTCTGCAGAGACCCAGGGCCGACATCAGACACTGCAGCCTGCATCCCAGGCTGCGCCCTGCGCTGCCCCTCAGCCCCCTCCCTTGCAAGCCGGTCTTGCATGGCTGCCAGCAATGAGTGGGCGCTTGCTGTACCATGTGTCTGGTGCCCGCTTTACCCTCTGGCCTCTTCTGTTGTCAATGCCGGGAGTTTCCTAAAGAGAGGAAACCACTTACCTGGCTCCTATTTCTCCTTGACTGACCTGGGTGGCGTCTTTTTGTAACCATTAACAACAAACAGGTGGCCAGAGGTTTCCCTGAGAACCAGCCCATCCGGTTGTATCCTGTAGAAGCACAGCTGCCAGGAACGTAGGGCCGAGAAACCAGGCATGGGAGGGACCTTGACCTGGAAATCGGCCTCCAACTCTCCAGCTCTGCAAAGAGCTTTGGGGGCAGGGAGTTGATGCTCCCCTACTTAGCCTGGTTTTAAGGGACTTCTGTCCCTGTGATGGGCAGGACTGCTTCCGAAGGACGATGAAAATCTAGAGCTTACCCTCCCTCCAAATAAATACCATCAGCAAATAAATATGTCGCGGCCTCCACTCCGCCATGCCTTTGGGCGTGTTTGGAAGCACCCGGAAAGAAGCTTGAGCTCCAGGCGGGTCAATGGGAGGAGGGAAGGTTGTCTGCAGATACCTGAGCACATCTGGTCCAGAAAATTCGAGCCACTCCACGACTGATCCGTGAAAGGACATCAGTGACAAGCAGAACCAGAAATATGCTGCTGTCTGCTCTGCTTCGTAAACCCAAAGAGAAAAAGCTGTGGGGACGGGGTGGAGGATGGGACTTGAGAAAGTGACAGTGAAGCACAGTAGAGCGCTTTGCAGACTTCAGGAGACAGCTGAGTCTGTGACCTGGGCACCCAGCCCTGTGGCAATCTTTGCCAGTGACCAATCAGCAAAACACCACGGACCATTGGGTCTGAGATGGTGTTGTACTTAGGTTTCTGTTGCTGTGATAAAACACCATAACCAAAAGCAATTTGGAAAGGCTCACTGTCAGGGCAGGAACCCGGAGTCAGGAACTAATGCAGAGATCACGGGGAGTGCTGCTTGGAGGCTTATTCCCATGGCTTTCTCAATCTCAATCTACTTTCTTTTTTTTGTTTTTTTTCAAGACAGGGTTTCTCTGTGTAGTCCTGGCTGTCCTGAAACTTACTATGTAGACCAGCCTGGCCTCAAACTCACAGATCCGCCTGCCTCTGCCTCCTGCTGGGATTAAAGGCGTGTGTCACCACAGCCCAGCCAGCCTACTTTCTTATACTACCCAGGACCACTGGTCCAGGGGTGGCACCGCGCACCGTGAGCTGGGCCCCCTAGACCTGCCTGCACAATCTGATGGAGGCATTTTCTCAGTTGAGGTTCCTTTTCCCAATAACTCTAGCTTGTGTCAAGTTGACAAAAAACTAACCCTGACAGTTGGCTAGTGGGGACACTCAGGACGTCAGCTTACCCAGGGGACAGCGCCTCTGCCCCCACCCAAACTCCCTCACACTTCTTCCGCTTGCAACCCGGGTAACCATGCTGGGATCCTGAAATGGACAAATGGGGAGGGAGGCAGGGACATCTTGCTACTACCCACTGCAGATGGGGAAACAAAGTCAGGGTGTGGTAGCCTGGACTGAGCCAGCCTGGCTGACCCCTGGGGTATCACTTTTGGAGGGATACAGAGACATTGGAAAACAGGCAGACCTGTTCGTTTACACCAAAAAGCTGAGGAGCCTTGGATTCCTCAGAACAGGGCACTGAACCCCGGGCTCCCAAGAACAGCCAAGCACCCCACAGTTACCACAGACATGGGCCTCCACGGCACAAGCTTCTTCCCTGTCCAGAGAAGCTTTTCTACTTCCGGGAAATTTGACCCCAAGGTTTGAGCAAGCTGGTGAGCTGGATAGGGACCGTGAGTAGACACAGGAGACACAGGTCTTAGGGCCTCTCCTCCACCTCTGGCTGAGTCTGGCAAGGCAAGGCAGCGAGCACCTGCCTCCTGTACCGTGCACCATCAACCAGACTTTCCACCCCCATTCAGGCGCATTCAGGTAGCTGCCAGTGCCTTCTCCACATGGAGGCTGTGAGCATCCTAGGGAAAGTGGGTAAGGGCTCTGTTAAAGTTCATCCCACAGTAGGAAGCTTCAGTCTGTGAACCTGGATGGGGGGTTTTCCCTGTTGTTCAAAGAGCCCGGTGGGTCCTGGGATGGCTGTGTTTTGTACCCTTGAACCAGTCTAAGAGCCAAGAGGATGGCTCCGTGGGTAAAGATGTTTGCTGCCAATCCTGAAGACCTGAGCTGAATCCCTAGGACCTACAGGGTGGGAGGAGAGAACTGACTCCCACAAGTTGTCCTCTGACCTCCACACGCACACTATGAACATGTGAGCGCACACACACATACAAACAATAGACATAATTCTAAAAGAAAATGGGAACAGGAGGAGAATGCAAAGCCTGGGTGCAAGAGGCCATCGCTGCCTCCTTCATTCAGCCTAGATTTGTAGGCTTGCCTCCTTGTCTGATTCTAGAACACAAGTCATATGAGCCTACTGTGAACCCCAGCACCCAGGAGACCCCCACTCAGTTTAGCTGGAAATCACTCTCCAGCTATGACCCCCACCCAGCCCAGTGGACCCCGGGACTCCGGAGGCCACTTTTAAGCCTTGTCTTAAGGTTTCTATTGCTGTGAAGAGACGCCATGACCATAGCAACTCATATAAAGGAAAACATTTAACTGGGTGACGTACAGTTTCAGAGGTTTAGTCCATTATCACCATGGCAGGACATGGTGGCATGCAGGCAGACATGGTGCTCGAGAAGGAGCTGATAATGAAGAAGGAGCTATATCTTGATCTCACAGGCAACAGGAAGTGGTCTGAGATACTGGGAGTGGCCTGAGCATATATGAGACCTCAAAGCCCACCTCCATAGTGACACACTTCCTCCAACAAGGCCATACCTACTCCAACAAAGTCACCCGCCAGCAGTGCCACTCCCTATGAGTTTATGGGGCCAATTACATTCAAACTACCACAAGCCTGGAGCCTGAGGTTCACAGTGTCCTTTGGCATCATGAAAGGTTCTTGGTGAACCTATGGAAACAATTCTTAAAATTAGTACATTTTATCAGGCTCACTGTGTCTTCTCTCTCTCTCTCTCTCTCTCTCTCTCTCTCTCTCTCTCTCTCTCTCTCTCTCACACACACACACACACACACACACACACACACACAACCACACTTATTGCTAAAAACATTGAACAAGCACTTGGGAGGTAGTGCTAAGTAGGATCAGGAGTTTGGGGTCATCCTTGGCTGCATGTCAAGTTTGAGGCCAGCCTGAGCTACATACATTCCTATCTCAATAAAACAAATAACAATATGCTGGACAAGGCTAGAGCTACACTCAGCAGTTAGCATAATTTGTTGGGCCAGTGGCAAAAGCTGCTAGCCAGACATACTTCCAGAAACAGCGTTCACCACATGAGCTGACCCAGTCTGGTTGTGAGCAGGACTGAGGCTTCCTGGTTGTGGGGACAGACTCAGGCTGGCATGGAGTAGCACTCAGGGGCTGTACCCACAGCAGAAGAATCAATGTCACTCATTAAAACAGTCTGTCTTTCTCCAAGAAGTTACTGGAATTTCAATAGATCTAGAAAGACCTGGATTCTGGGAGACTCTGGTTACCCTACAAACAATAGATTTGTGTTTCTTGTATGAATTTCCGGTGTTAAGAATAAAACAAAGCCATCTTTTACAACCTTGGTTTTGTGCAAAGCTGAGATAAAGGATGTAGAGTCCACACCCCTTGATCCCATGCTTGCCCCTCCCTTACCTCTGCCCAGCAGGCCCTGAGTCTGGCTGTGGAGGAAAAAAGCCTCCAGCTACTGGCCCAGCGGGCATCCTTTCCCTCTCTCCAACAGAATCATCCAGGAGCAACCCAGCAGTGAACTTCTTGCTGAGTCTGTAAATCCTTGAGAGCCAACTTCATGCATTTTAATCTACTATCTAGAAACGAAAAATAAATCTGAGCGAGGTGATACTCTCACATTTCTGGATGCTTCACATTCGAAGAACTTCAGCAGCCTCATGTTTTTATTCCTTTTTTTTTTTCCCCTCTCACAAAACATGAGCTAGCAAACCAAACAGGAAAAAATTCGAACTCCTCACAGCCAAAACCACTGATGCCAAATTTCAGGCTCCAAACAAGCCAATTTATAAATAAACATGCCCTGATCGCCAAATGAAGAGGAGCATGCTGGGAAAAGCAGTGGAGGCTGTTGAAGAAGGTGGGGAGCTGCATGGAATGGGAGCTGGGGCCTCAGCAGTGCCCCTGAGGGGCTGTGTGACAAATCACTGAACCTCTCGGGGCCTGTTTCCACCTTTATGAAATGGGAGGGGTCAGTGTAGTTGGTCCAAGGAGAGGGCCTAGCGATCTGCCCTCACCTGGTTGTTTTCAATTCACACAGCAGTTTGAATCAAAGCATCCCTTTCTCTTCCATCATCCTGACAAGATGACCACATTGTTCTAGTTGGTCCAAGACTCTCCTGGCTCTAGTCCTGAAAGTCCTGCTTCCCAGGAGGCGCTTTGATCCCAGGTACCAGAGACATGTTGTCTTGGGGGCTTTCCCACCCCATTGGCTGAAAAAATAATGTTAACAAAGTCAAGCTCTTTAGGGATGTAGTCAGGAACCTGGCTGGTCCACATATGTCCAGACAGTGTGAACAGTGTGGGACAGTGTGGAAGGAAACACAGGACTCAGGCCCACCCACTCCAGACACACTAAGTCAGAACATACATTTGAGCAGCCTCAGGGATTCACGGGAAGCAATTCTGCATGGTATCACAGCTGGTGGAGAGGCTTTGTTTTTCCCATTTCTCAGTCGAAGAAACTGAGGCTCAGATAGATGATTTACTATCTATTCATCATGTGTACCATGGACCAAATGACCCATCCTAGGCCACACAGCTAGTAAGACAAGTCCCAAATCCAGGTCTTCAAAATCCCATTGGAGAATATCCTCTGTGTACCTCGGTACAGCACAGATCCACACGGTCACAGTGTAACAGAGAAACAGATTACGGATTCGGACAGAATGCCCCGGCCCATGGAGACCCTCACTTAGGTTCACAGTCACGACTTCCAGTCCTCACTCTTGGCTCCCGAAGCTGTGTGCGCATCTTCCCTTCGTTTACACAACCCTATGATTATGCAGATGTTCTTTCTACTGCTGCCTCCTCCACCTCCATCTGCTTCAGCAACAGGACCACAGAAAGAAAGCACCAGAGCAAGCCGTGACTGTAGCGGCGGCGGCTACTGCTGCTGCTGCTGCTGCTGATACTGATGATGCTGATGCTGATGCTGCTGCTGCTGCTGCTGATGATGATGATGATGATGATGATACTGATGCTGCTGCTGCTGCTGATACTGATGATGCTGATGCTGATGACAATGAGGATGACCATGATGATGAGGCTTTAAGACTTACTTATTTTATGCACATGGGTATTATGCCTGCATGTCATGCATGCTTGTGCA